AGAACAATAACTTTCAAAAATAAAATATGACAAGGTATATATGTATGTATGCCTCATAATGGAATATAAAGTTTTCCCCAGACTAAACTTGAGTAGTCTTCGAATTGCCGCAAGCAAAGTTTAGCAAACTTCGACTTGAGCTCGAAGACAACTTAATCAATTTGCTGTCAATAGAAAGTTTAGTTGAAATATATTAAATTATTGAGCACGGGAACATATACATAGCGTATGTTACAGTTTTTTCATCTGCTAAAGGCCATAAATGTTTGCATCTTTAATTAAAGCGCTTTCAGCCATTTAATTAAATGCAGCGCGGTTCATGCTGTGTCTGTTTACAAAATCTATTAAAGTTTTTCATTAGGCTTTAAAAACGTCATTCTGTTCTCTTATGGGCACTGCGAGCTTTAAAAGTTCCTGAATGAGTAATAAATAAAACTGAGGAACATTTATATTAAAGGACAGACATATTCACTCCAGCTAAGGCTGAATGAGAAAGATTTCTATATTTTTGATAAGTAGAGACTAATACATATTGAACTTTGGGAGAGCGATAGAGAGAGAGAGAGAGAAAATGAGAGATTGCGAGAGAGAGAGAGAGAGAAACTATATGAACGCAGCTCCGAGTTTTATGAGTGAAAGCGAGAGCCGCCATACTTTCGACAAACAAAGAGAAGGCGACTTGTTATTGAAAAGATACTTGGTCCAGCACTGTAGAGCATGACAAAGCACTCTGTTTAAGGAAAAGCAGTAAAGTACACAGTGAGAAACAGCAAACCAAGAAGAATTCATAATTGGGAGCCGCGAAAAAGTTTTAAATGAATATTTAATAATGATTAATTAGTTAGCCCCCCCACAATACATATGTATATATTTAATACATATCGTATACATAGAAATTTAAATGAAGATATTGGATACTAATATAATAACTAAATTTATAGCCCATGAAATTCTTTGAAAATAATTGGGAGTTGTTTCAACTGGAGCATCAATACATTGTAGTTTCAATATTGAAACTTAATCGGAGCGGTCCTCGTATTTATATGGGCTCATCGTTCGCATCGTGGTCGTAGATAAACCGCAGCCGTCAATTCAGCGTCGGCGGATATTGCAGTGCTTTGGGGACGTTTATCTTGGGTGGCGATTATTTGGTCTTCAATTTGGCGAAGGCTTTAAAAATACACTTGTGCACATTTTTGGCCTGTTATAGGGGCAGCCGGCAGTCTGTCTATATTTAAATAAAGCAATCCATGTATTAAAAGTTGATAAATAATATAAATTTAGCCGCGACAAAGCCGCGCCAGGTTCAGTGTAAATAAAACAAATTAATTATGGCCATGATGAATGGACATTTAAGTTGCATGCAAATTACTAGATTTAAAAACGATTAATTAAAACAAGCTGATGAGAGCGCAAAAACCCGGAATACTTATGGATAGTTATATAAGTTATGAGAATGCTTTAAGCAGTAGCTAGATATCTGTGCGTTTACGCCACAAGCAATCGCAGCGAATTTGTGGGCATTCCGCAATCTTATCAGCCCACGCGGCTCATTGATTAGAAGCTAAATATATAAACAGGTATCTATAAATAGACGCATTTGAACTGTAAGCGTCTTGCCTTGGCCAGTTGCTTGGCCTCCTCTCAGATTCGATAAATTGCAATAGACCTCACTGGAAGTGTTTCGTCAAGGACTCTGCCTTGATTACTCTTCATAAACTTGAATGGTTGACATTGCAAGTGCCACTCCATCTATGGCAATGATTGAATTGAACTTGTAAACAGAAATTAAATCTAATTGGTCAGAGTCCTCAGAGAGAGAGAGAGAGAGAGAGAGAGAGAGAGAGAGTAGTCAAGTCTTACCTTAAGCCCCTTAAATGACTTCAGGCTAGTTTAATTGCGAATTTCAATATAAGAAGATATATTACATGATTTATTCAGAGTTAATATTTCTTATAGGTTTATAAATTATGAAAATTATAACAATATAAATTAATATCAAAGAAATTAATAAGCAAAAATCTTAATCTGATGGCAGAAAAGCCTTTTAAAGTATGGCAATAAAATAAATACGATTCAGATGTTGCAACTGTCAGCAGTTTCATATTACCTAACTTTTGGGCAATAGTGTCTCAAAAACCTGACAATATTTTACTCAGATTCATATGTAAAAATGACAAAAAAATATATATAATACTGTTTTTGTTTATTTATTTATTTTATTTTAATTTTAATTTTTTTAATGAATTAATTCCCTAATCAATATTATTCCAATACAAAATTAAAAGCATTTATTCCAATAAAAAATAAAAACCTTCAGAATTCCAGCAATATTTTTAAAAATATATAATTCTCAATGCTTTAATTTATTAGTCTAGTAAAAAATAAAAACTAAATACTTCCAAAAAAGTTAGAATAATATATTATTCTGTTTTCTTTTTAAGTAATTAAATCTTAAATAATTATATTGTAATAAAAACTTAAATTCTTATGACTTTAGAAAAATAAATAATTTTATGCATTTTTTTATATAATTAAATGCTTAAACAATTTTATTCTAATCAAACATAAATTTTTTAATAGTTTTGCATTATACCAATTGCCTTTCGCTTATTGCTAAGATTTTGTATAAAAAATTTGATAGGCATGTATTCTATGATGTTTTGTCATCCATTAACCCACTAAGCCCGGCCACGTGTTGCTTGCTTTTAGTTGAGTGTCTGTATTAAAGCGAAACTATGACTAAGTCCAACACGAGCCGAAAATGCGAGAGCAATACGGAGCTAAGTGCATATCAGTTGCCTTTGTTTGCCTACCCTGCACCCAGGCCAAATACTGCCTGACGGCTGTTGGCCAGACTGAAGAGGATTCGCCTTAATTTGCTTATCGTCTCGTAATTTGATAACTTTCCCAATTTGCTAATATAAAACTCAGTTGTTTATGTATGCATAAACATAAATAAAGAGGAATTTCGATGATCTGGACTGAGCACAGGGTATGCGCGTGTCGAGCACTTGCGCAACAGCATAACAGCACAAATTGTGCACATGTGTTAAGCTATTCGCTCGATGGCCCGATGGACATACTGTAAGTGGCCATACATATGTATATAGCGTCTATATGTATCTAGGTGTTTTAGCTATAAATATTTACACATTTGTTGCGTTGGAAATATGAGTAAATATGATTGATTCGCTCGAGGTGCAGCGCCATGTCCCGACGAGAGGGCCGAGTGGGCCGAGTGGGCCGAGTGGGCAGAGTGAAGCGAGTGACGCCTCCGATCCCGATCATAATCAATCAGCACTTTATTTAATTTTGCTAACGACCTAAAAATAAATTGACGGTTGCCAATTGATAAGCGCTTTGATGTTTCAGCCAATTTGTTATTAATTTAATAAATATATATTTTCCCTTTTTTCTTTGAGACCAATTTTATGGCTATTTATAGACGCTGATCGATATCCAAATGATTATTTATTATGGAGAGCATAAAAATTGTATAATTTGATAAACTAATTTTTTTTCTACAAAAAAAAAAAAAATAAATAAAATAAAATAAAATAAAATAAAAAAAAAAAAAAAAAATAAAATAAAATAAAATAAAATAAAATAAAATAAAAATAAATAATAATAATAATAAACTTAAAAAATAATAAAAAAAAGATTTATATTTAAGGGACATACTTTTTGACAATATATTTATTTTTAATATTTTATCTATTTTGATAACCAAAAATTTATATTTTTTTAGATCATATTATTTATTATAAAAGAGAATTCAAGAAAATTCCATTTAAATTGACAAAAAAAAAATAAATAAATAAATAAAATTTAAAAAAAATTTTAAATAATTATATTTTGTTATTTTATTTATTTTAAAATTTTTCAAATAACAAAGTAAATATTTAATCGCCCCAAATATATATATATATATATATATATATTGTCTATTATTTAATTTATTTATATAGCATAACGAGAGATTACGTTTCTTATCAAACTTGATTGAATTTGCATTTCGATTTTCGCTGACTAACTCTGAGTCTTGGCTTTGTTTGTTTTTTTGAAGTCCTTTCGTTTGCTTCATGTTACCAAATAGTCATTGCTAACAATATGCTTCACTATGATTGATGTGGGTGCTTTTTTCTTTGAACATGTATTCGCGCAGTGGTTGGCTTTTGCCATATCATAATGAGGGCTTTTCAACAGTTCAACTGTGCTGTTGATATCAAGCACATGACCCAAACGAATTGATATTTGGTATCATTGGCATTTTGGTTTCCAGATTGCAATTACCTTCTGCGCTTTATATTTGCACTGTCAACTGCTTGTGATGAATTCTTATTAATTACGCCTACCTGTGACGGCACCCCGCCTCCGGCTCTGATAAGCCCACATCGCCCCCACCTGCTCTGTATTGATAATATTTGTGTTTTGTCTTCATGTCTATTGGCAATATTTTGTTTTGTTTTTGTTTGTATAGTTTCGTGAACAGAGAATTCCGAGCACAAGAGAAAACACCAGACAATGCCCCAGACGCGTGGCATTCCTGCTCTCTGGCGCCAAGCTCAACTGCGCTGCGTCAACTTTTATCAACTTGCTCGATATAGAACTTTGAATCCATTCAATGTCGGAATACGCTAAGCAAATATTATGGCACTTGTTTTAGCTCCCTGCTTATTGATAAGAGCTAGAAAGAGTATTCGAATGTCGATTAGGCTCGAAATGCCGGACATTCAGCACTTCAGTTAGCTGGAAATCGATAAAAATCGATTTTGAATTTTGCATGCATTAAAGTTATTAAAGAACAGTCTGGAGGTATTTTATAATCGAGCTGTGTATAAAGCTAAACCCAAACAGTTACTTAGTATTAATGGAAATTAGTTCGCCCCAAATAAGTTTCAGCTAGGGCGTTCTGATAGATAATATGCGCTTAGATAGGATTTTTTGAGCAATTAGAGTTATTTGATTAGAGTTCACTTGTTCTACCATAAAGTGTATCCGATTCTTGTTGTCAAATATGCCAAATTTAATAGAGCAATTTCATGTCTTACATGATTTTAAAATATATTTGCTATATGAAAATTCCCAAGGTCTTGAAGAAGAGTATTTAAGCTGCGACTTTTCGGACGTAGATGATTTGAATCATTCGAAACTGTCAAGGTTTCGTATTGTTTTGAAAACTCTTGTCAAACTGTAAACAACACATAAGTTTTCTGGAACCATTGATAAGATTAAAAATCAATGTTGACAAATTAAAGCTAGCGTCAATAACCTACAATTGGGAAAGTTCTTCATTTGTTGCTTATTATATTTTCACCGAATTTTGCAGATTTCCGAAAATGTTGGCTATAATATTTTTTTTACGTTGTGGTTCCATCGCCAAAGTTCCATTGCAATGGGACCTTATCAATGGGTTTAGTTAATGTAAACAATTCCATGGAATTTCGTACTAGCCATTGAACCTTTTAATACCCTCTACTTGAGCCAAGCGGAAGTATATCTGCTTTTTAGAATTATACTTTGATATTTTATATATAGTTTTATATAAGAGAAACATAATACTTATTGGCCACGCCTACTCAAAGATGATATTAAAACATCAGTCAGACTGAGTAGTAGTAATCTAATCTCTCTTCCGATTAGCACCATAAGCGAAGTAATATATTACCCAGTGTTTACTATAAATAGAGTATTTCGTAGCTAAGTGCATCCACCCACACTGCAAATGCTATAGAACTCTTCACACAACATTTCCACAACACAATGATTCATTCCATTAGTTTATTAAGGGCCCATATAACTCAATACGTCAGTCGAACGAATCATATATGCGGACAAACATATCATAGCCGTAATGAGATGTTTACGGACTGCCATAAATGATAAACAAAGGGGCCAAGTAGCAGCTAGCTGGCTGTACGGCTGGAAAATCTGATAGAGGATTGCAAAATAATTTTATTTTTAATTCAGATTTCGTACAACTTTATGTGGCCATTAATCGGACGTTAATCTGACGTGGTCAATGATTTCATTGATACCAGAGAGTATTTTTTTCTCTCTGTGCCAAACCCTAGTTCAACAGACGATAAGTTTTACTATATCAATATACAATATATGTATGTACATATGTACATAGGATATAGCAACATTCAATTGGAAAACGAAAATGTGTTTTATATATGGGATTGTCGAGTCTAAGTTTTTTTTATTGCTCTGGATTTTGTGTGCTCTACGTCAAATCATGGAAATTGTGGAATAATTATGAACAAAGCTTTTTTATGGCGTTTATTGCGGGGCAATAAAAACAAAGATAAAAAGTTCGTTAAATTTAAAAAGGCAGTTAAATTGAATTAAACATATAAATTTATTATTTGTTAAATAAAATAATTTACTAATAACAATAATAGTATGTATTTTATTACAAAACAAACTAAACAAGTAAGAAAGCTCTAGTCGAGACTACTCGACTACGAGATCCCCTGAACCCTTGGAGTAAAAGCTATTTCAATAATTTTTCGCGTCTTTCAGCTTACACAAGAAACACGCACACACACACACACACACACAGCACGCACACACAGGCATGCATACACACACATACATACACACATATATACACACACATATACACGCATACACACACACACACACACACATACACATACACAAACAATTACATACATATACACACACAAGCATAAACACGCATGGGCGGCAGTGAGCGCCTACTATGAGAACTTAATTGCTTAATAACTTTTTTTGTGGACGTACGATCTTCATGAAACTTTCAGATTATGATTATAACATGGATATGCATGTATTTGCCAAAGCACAAGTCTCTAGTATTTGAAATACGCCTTTTACAAAAGTGAGGGTGAGGGGGTGAATTTAAGGGTGGGGGGTAAATTTTAACAAAAACCGAAATTGTATAAATTGCATATAAGCATACATTAAAAATTTAGAGACTTTAGCGATAATGGTGTAGAAGATATAATTTTATAACTGGTTTTCGATAAGGTTTTTTATCGATAAAAAAAGATCGGGATGAGTTATCGATTTTTAATGATAAACTTGATATGCGCGCTGTAATTACGGACATTTAAAAAAAATTTGAAGTCTCTAGCTCTTATATCTTCTGAAATCGACGCGTTCATACATACGGACAGACGGACAGACGGACAGACGGACAGACAGACGGACAGGGCGAAATCAACTCAGCTCGTCGCCCTGATCAAGAATATATATACTTTGTGTGGTCTGCCACGCCTCCTTCTGCCTGTTACATACATTTCAACAAAACCATTATACCCTGATTTCCCATTGAAAATGGGTTCAGGGTATAAAAATGTATAAGTTATATATATGTAGGGGAAACACCTGCATGCAGACAGACAGATAGACAGTCTGACAGACAGACAGAAAAATAGACAGACATACAGAGCTAAATTGACTCACCCCTTATGAGGAATAAATACTTTAATAAGTCTGCCACGCCTTCTTTTGCCTGTAGCCTACATTTTCACAAAATCAATACAGCCTGACTTCGCATTTTCAATGGGTTCAGGAATTTGTGGGGCATTCAATAAATTATTGCAGAAGATATACTTATTGCCCTGTTTCTTTATGGATTTAAAATAAAAAAAAAAACTCTCTGATATAACGGTCTTTATACTACTTCTTTATTGAAAGCTGAGTTCCTATTATATCTATTATATTAAGATTAATTTAAATACTATATGATATTGCTATGGATTTTATCATATATTTTTATTATTACTATGGATTACAACAATAAAATGTGCTAAATATTAAATACATCGACAATTCATATGTCAATTCATCTATTTACATATATAGTCTTATGTTCTTATCTATTAAATAACAACTTTAATGGAACCCCTCTTAAATTTCCCTTACAGCATCAATATGCAGCAGAGTCAGCCAACGTTTGTATTCTTTGAGCGGTCAAAGCAGCTTAATTAGTTTGTGAGATCCACAGAGCAGCAATCAAAGCAGAGCTGGAAACAGCTAATGAGCTCGAAAATCAAGGAAATCGTTGAAGGCTACCTGGCTTCAGTGCAAATGAGCCAATTCTGCGACCAGAGGCTACAAAATGCCCGAGCCAAGAGTTGCAAATCATTTGGAATCATTGGAAGCATCGCAGCTGGCACCTGGCAATGGCAGCAGCCAGGTGTGACTAATGGCAGTCTGAACCAGTTTCAGTTGCTGTTGCTGCTCGGGCTGGGGCTGCTCTGCCTGGGCGGGTGCCAGGCCCGGTGCCGGGAGGAGCCAGCGCGTGACTGTGAGGCGATTTGCGATGCGGCAGGAGGCAACTGCTCGATACGCGCCCTGGTGCTGCTGCCCAACGACGACGGATACGAGGCATCGCTGCAGCGAGTGCTGCCCATTCTGAAGGTGGCGGAGCAGCAGATCCGCAGCACGGCTCTCATTCCGCCGCACATTGACTTCGAGTGGCTGGCGCACGACACCAAGTGCGATGCCTCACTGGGCGTCATCTGGGCCATGGACGGCATCATCAAGCAGTGTGCGCAGATTATCTTTGGGCCCGTTTGCGACTACTCGCTAGGTAAATGGCCAATCAGAACAACCCATTAAATCATTTAGCCTGAATGCGCCCAAATGATTGTTTCAGCTGCTGTTAGCCGTATTACCAAGTACTTCAATAGCCAGGGAACGCCCCTCATAACCGTGGGCGGCTCCACCTACGACTTTGAACAGAAGAAAACCGACTGTGGCGATGAGTTCTATATGCTGCTGCGCACCGGCATGCTGAGCTTTGAATCCATCTCCGAGCTGACCATAAACGTAATGAAACAGTAAGTCGACCCTCTCCCGATCAAGCAGAACTCTCCATTATTATTGGATCTACTCATGTCGCAGGCACAACTGGTCCCATTCCATATTCTACTATGAGCGCGATGGCCAGCGCAACGTGGCTGGTCTGCACACTTGCTTCCTCATGATGAAGTCCCTCGGCAAGCAGATGCGTAACGAGAACATGACCTTTGCCCAGTATCCGCTTGAGTCGAATGTTATGAATCGCTCGGAGGAAATGCGACGTGAAATTGGCAATAAACACTCAAGTGAGTTAATACTTAAATGCTATTATAGTAAGAGAGATATGTAAATAGTTACAGATACAGATTTCCATTCAATAACATGTCTCCTTAATGTTAAGTCAAGCGTTAACAGCGGAAGGCCCTGTTAACCATCTGCTCAATGTTAGCGCCACACAACAGCGCTCTGTTAATAACATTTTCAACAATACTTAGCAAAGACAACAACCATTGTGCTTTCAAAGCGCAGCCGTTACGCTGTAAATTGAAAGTTAGCTTCGAATTTAAAATTGTTATTTAAACGTTTAACGAAAAACATACATTTCATTCTTTTACCAGCTATGTAATCTTACAAAATTAGGCAATATAAATTTGACAACGCCGCTTCCCGGCATATTTCGAATATCTCGCTTTTTCGATACCACCGTCCCAATTTCTCTACCTATTATCTAGAATAATCATTATTGAAAACATAAGCCAAGACCACCCAATGCTGCCCTGCCCAAAGCTCATAGTAAAACGTCTCATGCTTTTTCGAAAAGCATCATCAAACAGCTGTTAACGCACACTATCGCCGGCACGTGCCAAAAGCCGGCTGCATTCTCACACACATACACTCGCACCAATGATTGCGCACTTTCGAAATCGAAAATCAACCGTTGTTGCAGTTAACTTCAGTAGCCGGCGATAAAATGTTTGGTGCGGACTAAAAGTTCAAACGTGCAGCAAAATATTTTGCTTTGACAATTTAAAAGCCGTTAAAGTAAACGAAATGAAGTAAATGTATTACCTATGCAGGCCAGTGAAAACCAAATAACAAAATAAAGTCAAATAAAAAGAAACCACAAAATATTGCACACTTTGAAAAATGGGACTGAGTGTGATAAATATTCATGTTGAATCATCAGCAGCATTAGCTAAACTAATAAAAAGCAAAAAACTAGAAAAATAAACAATGAAACATTGTTGATATCCTTTTATGCTGTAAACGCACTTGTTATCCTGGCACCTTTGAATGCTTCGTCGCTTCCATACACAATGCATACGTCTAAATTGTGAAAGACATTCTTTGCATTTTTCATAAGCTGCTTACCTGTCAGCCACACGCAGCTCATCCTCAAGAATTATGGCACATAAGGGTCGTTGGGCGCCCTCTGGGCGTGCATTGTTATGCTTTGAATATCCCAATCTTAACAGTTTATGCAGCATCAATTCGTTGTGTGTGAAATAAATATTGTGTTTTGATAGACAATTGAATAAGTGATATAATGGAAAAATGTCGAATGAAAATTGAAATGAAATGGCTTGAAGTTGAGTATTTATTAATATATCTATTTAATGTGCAAAGTTGTATAATTGACTAAAGTATAAATTAAACTAAAACAGAAAATGGAAATCTTTTATATTTAATTTATTTATGACCATGGCATTCTACCAATAAATTCGGATATGTCCATTTTCGTATTGTTTCGAAGATGCACTAGTTGTTTA